GTCTCCTGGGCCTGTTCCGGGGCGCGTTCTGATCAGAATTCTTTACGCTTCGCGTATCCCCACCAGCCCATATCACAGCAGCAACTCATGCGAAGCATGCCGACAGTCGTGGTTTTCAGGCGTGTGTCCGCCTGGCCCCGCATATCTCCCCTGTTCCTCCTTCCCCCCGCCTCCTTGTACATCCTCATTGTGGGGGGAGCGGGAGAAGGACGAGGCGGAGGAGGAGGGAGAGAAAGCGCTCCTCGTGGTTTGGGTCGTTTGGGGTTTCTCGTCCTGGTGTGAGTCGTTCGGGCCCTTCTTCCTGGTGTGAGTCGTTCGGGCTCTTCGTGGTGTGAGTCGTTCGGGCTCTTCGTCCTGGTGTGAGTCGTTCGGGCTTCTCGTGGTGTGAGTTGTTCGGGCCCCTCGTCCTGGTGTGAGTCGTTCGGGCCCCTCCTCCTGGTGTGACTCGTTCCGGCTCGTCGTGGTGTGAGTCGTTCGGGGCCCGCGTCCCGGTGTGAGTCGTTCGGGCTCCTCGTGTTGTGAGTCGTTCGGGGCCTCGTCCTGGTGTGAGTCGTTCGGGCACCTCCTTGTGGTGTGAGTCGCTCGGGCTCTTCGTGGTGTGAGTCGTTCGGGCGCCTCGTCCTGGTGTGAGTCGTTCGGGCTCCTCGTGGGGCCTCTTGGGGGTCTCTTGGAGCCTCTTGGGGCTGTTGGGGGCCTCTTGGGGACCTCTTGGGGGCCTCTTGGGGCCTCTTGGGGCCTTTTGGGGGCCTCTTGGGGGCCTCTTGGGGGCCTCTTGGGGCCTTTTGGGGGCCTCTTGGGGGCCTCTTGGAGGCTTCTTGGGGGCCTCTTGGAGGCCTCTTGGAGCCATCTTGGGGCCTCTTGCGACCTCCTGAGAAGCGCAAATGAGCGCTGCCCTCTGAGAAGGAAAAAATGAGCCCAAAACCTTCGTAAAATCAATACTTTTGCTATGAAGGACGATCAGCGCTGCCCCCTCAGAAGCCCAAAATGGGCCCGAAACCATAGTAAAATCAATGAGTTTTGCTTCAAAAACGAGCTGGGGCACCAAACTCCCCCCCCCCCTCGGGGCCAGAATCCTCGTGAGGGTCGGATTTTTTTGTTGCCCTCCCAGACGTCGAAAAAGACCCCCCTGACGACCCGCGGAACTCCCTGTCCAGGTCCAGGGGGAGGGGGTAGGGGGAGGGGTAAACCCCTCCCCGAAGGGGAAGAAGGGGGGTTGAGGACAGAGAGAGCTCCTTAAACCACTCACACCCAAAGGGCTGGTGGGATTTCAAGAAGGAATACAGCCGTGGCGACGAGAAGGGCCGGAAACGTTCAGCAACTTCTGTGCCAGTTCGCCGCCCCGTTCATCGCCCCCCGTCAAACTCCTGCCAGCATGCCCGTGCTGCCGTGCCGCCCCAGTCGCACCCTCCTCTCCGCAGGGGGCTGGGGGCCGTCTGGGCGCGCGGCCGTCGGCCCTCGGCTGCGGGGGTCGCGTGGCCCGAAGTCCGCTTCTGTGGCGCCCGTGGCCGCCTCCTCTTCCTCCTCTGCTCCTTTCTTTTTTTATCCAGCTGCCTGCGGCAAATCCCGCCACCGCGCCCGCCCAGCTGTCTCGGTGGTTTTTGCGCGAGGGATCACGGATGTCCTAACTTGTTACGCGTTGTATCTCCAGGCTTGATGATGTTGGCGATGGTGATGGTGATGGTGATGGTGTGGATGAGGCGGAGGGATGAAGAGGAGGAAAAGGAGGAGGACGAGGACGAGGACGAGGAGAGCCGCCACATGTGACACTTTCTCGTCTTGGGCCGTCTTGGGCCTCTTGGGGAAAAAACGTCGAAGAACACTATGGAAAATCAACAATTGTAGACTCTTGGGGCCCTCTTGGGAGGCTTGTTTGGGACCTCGGGGGCCGTTTTGGAGACCTCTTGGCCCGTTTTGGGGCCATCTTGGGCGTCTTGGAGCGGTCGTTTGGCGTCTCGGGGCCTGCGTGGGCCGTCTTGGAGGCCTCTTGGGGGCTTCGTGGCCCGTCTTGAGGCCCTCTTGGGCTCGGAAAAGCCTCGTGAACCGCTCGTCCCGGCCGTGCTGCGCTCGTCCCGGGCCCTCCCGCTCCCCTCCAAATCGGCTCTCTTGGGCCGTCTTGGGGACCTCTTGGGCCGTTTTGGGGCCGTCCTGGGCCGTCTGGAGGCCGTCTTGGGAGCCTCTTGGGCCATCTTGGGGTTATCTTTGGGGCCTCGTCGCCCGTCTTGGAGCGTCGGGAAGCCGGAAAGGCGGAAAAACAAAAAACATCGAAAAAACACGATGGAAAATCAACAATTTTAGACTCTTGGGGCGCTCTTGGGAGGCTTGTTTGGGACCTCGGGGGCCGTCTTGGAGACCTCTTGGCCCGTCTTGGGGCCATTTTGGGCGTCTTGGAGGGGTCGTTTGGCGTCTCGAAGCCTTCGTGGGCCGTCTTGGAGGCCTCTTGGGTGCTTCTTGGCCCGTCTTGAGGCCTTCTTCGACCCGGAAAAGCTCTGGAACCGCTCGTGCGCTCGTCCGTCGGCTCCCTCCCCCCCTCCAAGTCGGCCCTCTTGGGCCGTCTTGGGGACCTCTTGGGCCGTCTTGGGGCCGTCTTGGGCCGTCTGGAGGCCGTCTTGGGGGCCTCTTGGGCCATTTTGGGGCTATCTTTGGAGCCTTTTTGCCCGTCTTGGAGCGTCGGAAAGCCGGAAAGGCGGAGAAGCAAAAAACGTCGAAAAACACTCTGGGAAATCAACAATTTTAGACTCTTTGGGCCCTCTTGGGAGGCTTGTTTGGGACCTCGGGGGCCGTTTTGGAGACCTCTTGGCCCGTTTTGGGGCCATCGTGGGCGTCTTGGAGCGGTCGTTTGGCGTCTCGGAGCCTTCGTGGGCCGTCTTGGAGGCCTCTTGGGGGCTTCTTGGCCCGTCTTGAGGCCCTCTTGGGCCCGGAAAAGCCCTGGAACCGCTCGTCCCGGCCGTGCTGCGCTCGTCCCGGCCCCCTCCCCCCCTCCAAATCGGCCCTCTTGGGCCGTCTTGGGGACCTCTTGGGCCGTCTTGGGGCCGTCTTGGGCCGTCTGGAGGCCGTCTTGGGGGCCTCTTGGGCCATCTTGGGGCTATCTTTGGGGCCTCTTTGGCCGTCTTGGAGCGTCGGGAAGCCGGAAAGGCGGGAAAGCAAGAAACGTCGAAAAACACTTGGGAAAATCAACAATTTTAGACTCTTTGGGCCCTCTTGGGAGGCTTGTTTGGGACCTCGGAGGCCGTCTTGGAGACCTCTTGGCCCGTCTTGGGGCCATCGTGGGCGTCTTGGAGCGGTCGTTTGGCGTCTCGGGGCCTGCGTGGGCCGTCTTGGAGGCCTCTTGGGGGCTTCTTGGCCCGTCTTGAGGCCCTCTTGGGCTCGGAAAAGCCCCGTGAGTCGCTCGTCCCGGACCCCCCCCGCTCGCGCCGGACCCCCCCCCCCCTCCAAATCGACCGGACCGGGCTCCCGGGGGAGGGGTTTGGGGAGGGGGAAGCATCTCACACGCCGATGATCCCCAAGGGGTCGGCGGATTTTTGCATGACGTCGACCCCCAGAGGTCTCGACCAATTAATTCCCCAGGACAGGTTTCCTATCGCGAGTCGTTTCTTGACGGTCCCGCGTTCCGGTCAGGGCCCCCAGCGGCCGAAAATAGCGAAATTTTCCCGTCGCGATGTTGTCATAATCCGAGGGGTTGGTTTGGGTTGGTTGGGTCCGATCGGATTTCGCTACTTGTCGGTATGTGGAAGGTCCGATCTTGCTCGCGCAAGCGGGCTCTGTCGGACTGCGCCGCCCAGAATGATGGCCCTGCGCCACGCGCTCCAGGGTTGCAACATACATCACGAAATTGGATGTTGCAAGGGGGGAAGGGAGATGATGATGATGATGATGATGGTGATGATGCTGATGATGAGGAGGAGGAGGACAACGACGAAGAGAAGGAGGATGAGGATAAGGATGAGGATGAGGATGACGGTGAGGCTGATGCTGATGCTGGTGATGGTGATGGTGATGATGATGATGATGATGATGATGATGATGATGTTGGTGATGCGGATGCTAATGATGATGATGCTGATGCTGATAATACTGATGACGATGATGATGACGATGATGATGATGATCACGAATGTGATGATGATGCTGATGATGAAGATGCTGATTATGATGATGTTTATGACGATGATGCTGCTGACGACGATGATGAAGATGATAATGATGATCATGATGCTGACGATGATGATGATGATGATGATGATGATACTGATGGTGATGATGATGCTGATGATGATGATACCGATGATACCGATGATGATGATGATGATGATGATGATGATGATGGTGATGGTGATGGTGATGGTGATGGTGATGGTGATGGTGATGATGATGATGCTGATGATGCTGATGATGATGATGATTATGCTGGTAATGCTGATGATGATGCTGATAATGATGGTGATGATGATGGTGATGGTGATGGTGATGGTGGTGGTGATGGTGGTGGTGATGGTGATGGTGATTGTGATTATGATTGTGATGGTGATGGTGATGATGATTGTCATCGTGTTGATGATTGTGATGGTGATGGTGAGGAGGAGGGGGAGCAGGGCGAGGCACCCCAAGAGTTGGCCAAGTCGGACGGGCCGTTCCAGAGCGGTCCGGAACGCTCTCAGAGCGTTCTGGAACGCTCTTCAAACGGCCGCGGTGCCCGATCCTCCTCCAAACCCGCCAATTCTCAAAGATTTTCGTTTTGTGTGGGTCCAAAGTTGTCTCGATTCTGTTTTCATCTTGCCGAGAAGAAGAGGAGCCTACCCCCACCCCCCACGATTTCTAAGGGGGGGGTCATTTTGCTCGGGAGCTCCCGAGCGAAATTAACCCCGACCCCCCCTTAGAAATCGTGGGGGGTGGGGGTAATTAGGGTTCACATGTGGTCACCTGGGGAGCAGCATCGGCGGCGGCGTCGTCAGCGGATGCCGCCCGCCCGCGGCTCCGGCCCGGGCGCCGCGCGCGTGCGCGAGCTCGGCTTCGACGCCCCGGGCATCCTGGAGGCGTACTTCAAGCAGTGGGGCCCCGTGGAGCAGGCGGGGGGAGGAGGAGGAGGAGGAGGAGGAGGAGGAGGAGGAGGAGGAGGAGGAGGAGGAGGAGGAGGAGGAGGAGGAGTTCCCGGTCCCCCTCGCGTCGGGAAGAAGCGTGATCTGATTATTCCATGCTAGTGCTTAAAAGGCGTAAGACTGCTTGAAGCATTCTGATTTCCTCCAGGTCAAAGTCCTGGATACCGCGCCGCACGGTCAGTTGCAGCTACGGTATCCAAGAAGATGCCAGGCCGAGCCAGATACTCACCCCGGGCGGTTTGGGGGTATTTTGGGTGTCCGGGGTCCGATGAAACGCGGGTCCCAAGGAAGGGGTCCAGACTCTTAGGGGTCCACGTTCTGACAAAAAGCATGACGTCGGGGGTCGGGGTTGAAATGGAACGTCAGGGAGAGGACCGGCTCAAGGGGGGGGGGGGGGGGGGGGGCAAACACCGAGTTGGAGTCGGCGGCACATCGCCGATAGATCGGCGGTAGGCCCGCGATAGCGAATCCACACGTTCTTGGCGGGGTGGGCTATCGGGCCCCTATCGGCGATGAGTGGGCGATGGGGAGTCGATGCGTCCCCCTCGGAGCCTATCCCCCCTTAGCGCTGGACCAGGCCCCCTTCCAGTCGTCGAGGGAAGCCGAAGACTTTGCGGTGCGTATGTTGGCCCAAGTTGCGATGCCGCCCGTAGATTTCTACATAGATTGTAAAGGCACGGTGTCGACGTTCTGGGCGGGCCCTGGTGCGGGCTCGGGAGCCGAGAATCCCCGAGCCCACATGTGGGCTTCTTTCTGGGCTGCGTTCGAGCCGAACGATTTGACGGCCCACAAGACGAAGGCCCATTGCAGCATGGTAGATGTGCAGAACGATCGCACCACTCTTTGGGAGAAGCGTGGCAACGATGCCGCCGACGAATTCGCGAAGCGTGGTGCCGCCCTCCACGGAGTGGAGGAGAGCGAGTACCACCTCTGGCGTGGCCTGGTCGAGGCTGCTCGGGAGGTGGGTCGGTGGAGTGGGCGGTTGCATGCGTTGTTGGGGGACGGAGAAGCCTGCCAGGACCATGATGACTTTATGGAGTTGTATGCGGCTGGCAGAGGACGGGCGCAGGCGTCGCCCGAGCCGCAGCTCGATGCAGCCCCTGTCCCTGCCCCTGCGGTTGCGCCTGTGAGTGTCCCCACGGTGCAGTCGCCAGCTGAGGGTTTCGAGGCCTACCGAGACATGGGTTACTTGTTCAACGGCCACCCGATGCTGCATGCCACTGTTAATGCGCGGTCGGGTCATGAAGATGGCAAGGCCATCAATTTCTGCTGTGCTTGCGGGGCCTTTTTCAGCGTAGAGCGGCCAACTTGAGCTCTTCTCAGGCCGTGCCTCCGAGAGTGTGCGGCTGCGGGCTTGAGGCGGCAGCTAGCGCTGATTAAGGTTGGCAAGTACCCGTCGGGCAAGGAAGGTCTGAAGGACCTGACCTTGAACCCCCCTGAAGGTGTGCCGCACGCGGTTCGTGTGCGGTTTGCCGCAATTTTTGGCCCTGCTGACTCTGCCCCGAACGCCTCGGCTCAGGACGTGGGGGGAGGTGGGTTTCGGGGGGTGAGTGCCTCGGGGGGATGACGCCCCGAGCCGAGTTGCTGAGGGCCTTCGGCCTCCTGGATGGGGGACCTTCCAGCCATCCGAGCTGATGGGCGCCGCCTCGTGCGGAAGGAGGCCGAGGAAGGGCCCGAAGAGCCCCTGGATGGGGGATTTTGAAGAGGCTTCCCATGGGTCGGAGGCCTCCAATTCCGAGCGATAGCTCAACTTGACTGGCTTCAGGCCGCTTGCTCATTTCATTTCTTCTCACCTCCCTGTCGCACCCCCAGACCCCGGGCCAGGCGTTTCGCTTTGAGACTTCTTCACCACTTTTGATTTTGAAGTATGGAAATGGCACCAGGTTCACGCATGGATGGCTGGCTGTTCATGTGTTTCTCGCTATGGCACCACACATTCGTTCTAAAGTGTTGCAGCGTTGCCAAGGATTACGGCAAACTTTTTTCAAAAGGTGTTGTTTCTACTTTTGCGCCACGCACATTCGCCCTAAGAGTTCGTAGCAATTCCACGGTGAGTGGGCCGTGTTCAGAAAATGGTGTTCGTTGTAGCACTTCGCACATTCGTTTACCACCAATTCCATTTGCTTCAAGGTTGACATCTCAGGAATTGCGTTCCGACGCGTTTTAGGAATTCCTAGAACGCGGCAACCACGTCGACTTGCAGTGTTTACCAAGTACGGCATTCTGGTACGCATTTGACATTTCCATGACGCATCAGTCACGTCGGCTCGCGGTGTTGAAGTCCTGGGAACCGTGTTGCGGCACGATTTGGGCCGGTCAGGACGCAACAGTGACGTTTATTCGTTACGTTGAAATCCCAAGACTGGTGTCTGATGCGGTCGTGGATTATCAGGGTTCCCAGACGGTTTCCTTCCAACGGGGCACTCAAGACAATGCGTTCCCGCAGGGACCAGCGAAGAGGAAACTCTGAGGGACTGCTCTTTGGACTGCTCAGGCACCTCGGGGCCACGATCGCCCCAGCGCGAGCACCACCACCCCGAAGGTCTCGGTACCGTGTAGCCGATCCCCATCCCCATCCCCTACGAGACCCCCACCAAATTACCACCTCAGTTGGGGACACACCCCTCGAAACCCAGAGGGAACGACCTATATCCCCATCAGTAGGGAGGTAAATTGGCCAGAGGGGCCCAGGCCGCGCCGCTGGGGATGGGGATCGGTTAAACGATACTCGAGGTCCTATGGGCCAGCGCAGCAGCGCGGTGGGGGGCGGCGGGCAAGCGCCCCCTGGCGGAGACGCCTGCTTGCGCGACCGCGCCTCCGGGCCCTTGGCCGCCCACCGTCGGCCGGCGCCCGGGGCTGGCGCCGTGCAGACTGGCCGGCACGGCCGGCGCCGCGTTCCCCGCGGAGCTTGCCCTGCCTGCCGTTGACCGGGCCCCGCAGCCCCCCCCCTCGTGCGGCCGACCCCCAGGGGTGTGTGGCCCACGATTCAGGTCTGTCAGGCCGCTGCAGTCACGCTGGCTCGCGGCGCCGACGTGCCGAGAGCGGCGTTCTGGCACGGCTCGGGGCTGTCAGGGCGCAGCAGCAGTCAAGTGGGCTCGCGGTGTTGAGGTCCCAGCTCTTGCACGGCTTTGGCACGTTCAGGCCGCAACAGTCACGCTGACTCGCGGTGCCGAAGTCCCAGGACTTTTGTTTTGGCACGGTTGGGGATTCTCAGACAGGTGTCGTCCTGTGGGGCACTTCCCGCCATGAAAAAATTCTCGACGCCTTGCGTCAGCCCATCAGCCCTTGGCCTTTTCTCTTCCGCGTTCGCTCTCGTCCTCTTTTCGCCTCCCTCTTCCTGTGCGCTACTTTAGGCCGATGCATCTGCGCTTCGTACCTTTACGCCGCCCGACCTTCTCGCCGGTGTCGCGATCAAAAAGCAAACCCACCAGCCCATCCAGAAACGATGCCCAGGCGAGTTCCTCTGATCAGGCATGTGGGGGAGCACGCAGTGGAATAAGAGGGGGAGGATGCAGGAGGAATCAAGGGAGGAGGACAAGGAGGAGAAGGAGGACGAGGAGGACGAGGAGGAAGAGGAGGAGGAGGAGGAGGAGGAGGGAGGGGAGGATTAGGCGTACCAGGAAGAGGCGGAGGAGGACGAGCAGAAAGGCCAGATGTTCCTTGGATGCTTTTCGGGGTCTCTTCGGATGCCTCTTGAGAGCTTCTTGTACCTAGGCCTCTTGGGGGCCTTCTTTGGGCCTCGTGGCGGTCCCGGGGGCTTCTTGAAGCGTCTTGGGTGCCTCGAGGGAGCCTCTTCGGGCCGCTTGGGGGTCTCTTGGGAGCCTCTTAGGGGCCTCTTGGGGCTTCTTGGGGCCTCCCGGGGGCCTCGTGGTGCCCTCTTGGGGTACTCTTGGGAGCCTCGGGGGCCATCTTGGGGCCATGATCGATCAACGACGGGGGAGGTTTCAACTAAGCCCCCCCCCCAGGAGGCCCCAATGTGGCCAAAAGCTTGGCAACATGAGTGACTAGTGCCTTCTCGCCGAGGCCGCTTTGCTGCCGGCGACCCCCCCCGTCCAGGTTTGGGGTAGGGGGGGCAGGAGGAGCGGCCGTGGCACCCTCCCCGCCCGCGCGAGCCGCCTCGCTCGCTCCCGCCCGCCCTCTCAGCACGGAAGTAGCACCCAGGCCTCGGCAAGTTCAGCGGTCGTCCATTGATCTCACTACCTGTGGTCACGCCATGCTTTGCTGCAAACAACAGTTTGGGGTGGTGCCTGTTTACGCAGCTGTCAGATGTCGTGCCACGCGCGTCGCGCCATGCGGCGCGATGTGTGATTCTCAAATCTGCAAGTACCGAGGTGCGCCATGCGTGCGGGCGCTCCAGGTGCGCCAGGCACCTCTGGGGCCCAAGCGTGGCAGGCAGGCCTCGCGCACCAGATACGCCACGTGCACCATGCGCGCCGCACGGTCCAGCCGCGCCAGGTGTCACCACCCACCAAACCACCCCAACCCAACCCGAAGGCCTCAATTTGTCCTCTATTTCCAGTGGGGGGGGGTCGGGGAATTTTGAAACAACACATGGGCCCGGTACCGCACCCCCACCACCCGAAATTCGAGTCAAATTCGAGTCTTCGGGTTGGGTTGGGGTGGTCTGGTAGGTAGTCAAGGTGTGCCACGTCCAGGGCACGCGCGGAGTGTGCCAGGCGCGCCCGCCCACGTGGCAGCACACGTCGGGAAACGTGTCGGGCCCCACCATCCTGCTCGAAAACCAGTGCACGATCGCGGCGGGGACTCCATCATGGTGTCCGGTGGGCCTGCACACAGCGGGCAATATTCCAGCACCTCCGCTAAACCGTGTCGAACACCAATGGACAGCGATCGCGGGGTAGCCGCGCATGATCCAGATCTAGCTGCGAAGTGCATGTTGCATTGACTTTGTAACAAGGGCGGTGGCCTTGCGCAAAGCAGGTAATATGAGGGCACCCCCGCCGTCCCGGTCAAGGTGCTCGCGTGGCGTGATCCGAGATTTTGTCCCAAAGTATGCTTCGTATTGTTTTTGACACGGATGGGGAGGTGTTGGCATTGGTCTTGGTTGGCTGCCAGTCGCCTGTGGGAGGGGTATTTATTAATCGGGAAAAGTGATAAAACTTTCCGCCAAGGGGAATAATGGGGGTTGGAAGTTCCCCTAAACCACTCACGCCCTAAAGGGCTCGTGGGATTCTTTTAGAGACCTGCGAAGAGGGAACTTTGAAGGAGGGTTTATTGCAACATTGTTGATGCGTCTTGGGTTTACACTGGTCCTCTTTCTCATGCCTCTTCCTCTGATTTCATACATTTTCTGATGTGTTCGTCGGCTCCCAAGGGGTATTGCAACGTCGGATGTCCGGGTGGCCGGGCCAGAGGGCGTATTTGGAACTTTGGATGGCGTTGTCAGGGCCGGGGTTTGAAGGCAGTTGGGGTCTCCCGACCTACCATCGAATGCTCGTGGTGGCAAGTCTGCAGCTGACCCGCAACCTTACCAGTAGTAATCAAGCGTGTGCAGTGGGAGGCACTCGAGAGGGTGTTCATAGTTCCTTAGGCCGACAGCGAAGAATGAAGCCCAGTGGGCGCAATGTCTCTGCGCCGCCTTCGTTGCATGAGCACTTGAGCAGCTTGAATGTCCACCGTTGCGCTCCTGCATGCCTTCCCACTCCCTCCCCCCGCTTCCGCTCCCGCCTCCCCGCTCCCTCGCCGCCGTGGCACGACGGACTCATCGGCTCGACTTCAGCTCTGCGCCGGTGCTGCCCGCCACGACGTACGTTCTGGCTCGCAACGACTTCCGACTCGGTACTGGCCGATCCTGCCCGATCAAGTTCTGACAACCAGGTTGTACGGTGGAAGCGCTATGTTGCGAGCATTCTGTCAGTATCGAGTGTACGTTTCGTCCCCTGCGGGACTCTGTTGCAAGTGGACCTTCCGATCATGTGCATGCAAAGGCATGGCAGCATTGCTCCAACTCGATGTCCACGGCGCTGGCGGTCGCATAACGCGTTCAAGACCAGGCGGGCTAAGCATTGCTCAAACATGCGCCAGGAGTTATGCTGGAACAAGAACTCGGCCACGCGCAGAGGGGGCCAAGGGGGAGGGGGAAAGGCTCCTTGGAAGCTTCCTGCTTCTGAGAAGGCGCGAGCCTTGTCTGTGGATGGATGGGCCGGCGCCTTCTAAGAGGCAGCCCCCTTCTGAGAAACCTTCCCCTATGCCAGGGCTCGTTTCGATCTCTCCGACTCGATTCGATTCGATTTCGATGGCTTCCGATTCCGATTCGATTCGACTTAGGATTCCGATTCGGGTTCCGCTTTCTCAACGGAGGCCTGTTAGCCTGCCGATTTCTGCCGACCCGACTTCTCCCGACTCGGCTGCCGACTTCCGCCGATCCGATTCACTTCGATTGCCGATGCGACTTATTCGATTTGGGGCTCTCCTGCCATCCCCCTGCCCCCCCCCCCCCTCTGCGCGCCGCCGAAGAACAGCAGAACGTCGGGGGGCGGGGCAGGGGCGAGGACGGCCGTGGGCGGGGCCGCCCTCGTCCGGCGGGCATCGCCCCTCGGCTCCTCCCCCGGGGGCTCTTGCCGGGACGCTCCGACGCGCGCTCGGCCGCACGCCCCCAGGACACCCAGGAGCAGGATGGCAAGACATTGTCCGTCATGAGACGCGAAGATCCAACGTACTGAAAAGCCACGACGGAGGTGCTTCGTATGTTTCGGCCTCTAATTAGGGGCCCTCGCCGAGCCCCGGGACCGTCAAACAACGACTCATGATGAAAAATTGGTCTTGGGGAATGGGTCGGGGCTTCTGGTGACTCCGTTTGGGACACATCACGACACATCGGATCTCTGGGGTCGCGTACCCAGGCATGCGACGTCCTGATCTTTTCCATGCGCGGTCCCCGGAAGTCCCGACCCCTTTCCACGCGGGACTGGTTTTGCGTCATGGACCGCTTTCTGACGGCCCCGGGGATCGGCGACGTCCTCTATACAGAGGCCGAAAACGGCGAAACGCTTCCGTCCAGAGTTTTGAACGACGCGAGCATGTCTGGGTGACGATCCCCCCTCGGGGCCAGGGAGGAGGAGGAGGAGGAGAGAGGAGGAGGAAGGGGGAGGAGGAGCCGGGGAGGAGGGGAGGAGGAGGGGTGGGGAGGAGGAGGAGGAGGAGGAGGAGGAGGAGGGAGGAGGAGCAGGAGGAGCAGAGGTCAGGGCTCTCGCGCCCTCCAAGGGCTCCCCGGGTCTGGGCTCGGGGCGCCGCGGCTGCGGCGGCCCGCGGACAGCGTCGGGGTGCCGAGGTGCTCCTGTCGAACACGCCCGTCGACGCTCGGGTCGCGCCGCCCCCCCCCTGCCCCTCCTCCTCCTCCTCCTCCTCCTGCCCTCCTCCTCCTCCTCCTCCTCCTCCTCCTCCTGCCTCTCCACCTCCTCCTCCTCCTCCTCCTCCCTCCTCCTCCTCCTCCTCCTCCCTCCCTCCTCCCCCCCTCCCTCCTCCCTCCTCCCTCCTTCCTCCACCCTCCCTCCTCCTCCTCCTCCCCCGCCCACCTCTCCATCGAGCAGGCCTATGAGCGGGCATGTGACCTTGTAGCGTGGGTAGGAAACGCTTGGAAAGATTTCTTCGCCAAAGAGGCTTCCAGGCGCGTTATGGTTTCCCAGGGCTTTTGCAAGGCCGTCGAGGCCGAGTTGCAATTCCATAAAGCCACCATCCAGTATGTCTCGCGGGCTGCTCTTAGGCTGGCTAGGCTCAGGAGGTGGACTGACATCCCTCCTCCTCCACCTTGCCCCAAACCTGCGCCCGTGATCCAGCTCACAATCCACGAGCACACCTTTATGATGGATGCTAGGTCAGGTGAGGTCCGATGCAGTCATTGCTTCGTCGGTGCACGTTCCCCTAGCACGCTTGCTCATCTCTGCAATGGTGAACAGAGGGTATGTAAGCGATCCTCCATATCGGCCTGGAAGGCTGAGGAATGGCTCCGCTCCTTGGGGCCACGTGCCCAGGCCCTTCAGGCCCAGGCAGTCGGGACTGCCCTAGCTGCTGCTGATGCCGCTTGCCCCCCCCCGTCCGCTTCTTCTGAGCCTCCTGCTGTGGCTGCTGCTGACCCTCCTGCTGCCTCGCCTTCTCCTCCTCAGGGATCGGGGGCGGCCGCGCTTCAGGAATTCAACGGTTTAGGCCACCTCATGGCACAGATCGGTCGGGTTTGCATCTGTACTGTGTGTGCTGGCTTCCTTATTCTGCCCCGTGGGGTCCCGAGGTCCCTCTTGAGCCCCTGCTCTGGGGCTTCTCGCGTTCCGTCCACTCGGGATAAGCAGAAAAGGTAGCTGCAGAGGGCCCGTGCGGGCCTGCACCCATCTCCAGGGTGTTCCCTGGATGAGTGATGCCTCGGATTGCGTGGGAGGCGTGCTCTTTCTTTTCCTGCCGCTGCCCCACGCCTTCCTGAGATGGTTGCTCCTTTCTGTCTAGCCTGTCGTCGTTAGTGCCAGCTGACGACTTTCTTGGTCGGCGCCCACCACCACCACCACCTCCCTCCTCCCTCCTCCCTCCTCCCTCCTCCCTCCTCCTCCTCCTCCTCCTCCTCCTCC